TATTAATACTGTTTATCATAAAAACAGAGCATTTACTTAAATATTTGTATCTATAAAAAGAATGTATAAACATAAAATGTCTTATATATATATATATATATATATATATATATATATATATACATAAAAATATATATATATATATATATATATATATATATATATATATATATATATATATATATGTTTTTCGGCTGCCCAAGCAACAAATTATACAGCATCAAAACTACTATAGAAAAATGGCATCAAACACTAAAAACAAGGAAAAAGGAAGTAATAATGTCCAGACTCCATATCGGATAAGATAGCATAATTCTTATCTTCCAATCTGTCCGACATGCCAAGAACTAATAAGAATACAATAAAATACATACAAACAAATTCTTGAGACTTCAGCCAAATCCATTTTAAATGCTACCAAACAAGCAACATGAAATAACTTTTTCAGGACATTAAACCATATAATATCATACAGTTGTATTACAAAATATAACTTCAATAAAACTACAACATAAAAACCCACATATCACCGCCTCTAGTAATTATATCCACACAAACATGTATCTGCACAAAATAATCTACCATGTATTCAATTGTGAACACAGCATATCATATTTGTATTACTTCAAAGCTCCCAGGAAAATTATATTTTGGTATTAAAGGACCCATAAAAGAGTTGGTATGCATTTAAACAAATGAAATCAATCAACAAAACACTATTAAAGTATAAAAATAGATTTAAATACAATTATATATAGATTTTTATCTCAAAAATACGAACAATACATATTTATATTAAAATCGCCTGCAATAAAATGTTAAATCAAATTGACTAACAATATATTTTTATAGTAAAATGAGCAAAACATTTTATCTGTAGCTGAAGGCATACAATTTATTTTCAAAATATATTTAGTCGAAGCCATAAAATTGTTAAAAATATTTCAATTAAGTTTCGACATTAAATGACCCATAAAGAGTTGATATGCCGTTAAACAAACAAATTCAATCGAGTGCCGAATGCAGTTAGTTTTGATCTCTGAACCGAACAGGAATCTTATCGACATGAATTTCAACAATCTAGACGGAGATGACCACAGAGAAGGTGGAAAACTCTATTTTTACAAAATGTCTGTGTGTTGTAACATAGAAAATGTTACTGAATGAGGAATAACCAAAATGGAGGTTGGAAATGAAATGGTAAAATCTTTATAACATCAACAAAATACAATACTCGCCAGTTGAAGTAGGACCCCTTAGAGAATGGAATTTATCAATTTTTTTTTTTTCAAACTACGAATTTACCGAAAATCTGTTCCGAATCGCAAAATAAAATAATGGAATAAAACTATAATATTATTTAATTAGAAAAGCCTTTAATTGCTTTAATAGAAATTATTAAGGATACTTTTCGATAAATAATGAATTTTTACAAGAATTGTTTTCGTTTTTTTATTTTACTTATAGTAATTTATAATATACAAATATTTTAAAATTCTGCATAATTTTCATCCAGTTAGGTGATATTGTTATTAAGTGAAAAAATATATTTACTAATCAAAAATTGAAAATCTTAATACAAATTATTTTGCATCAAGATTTTTAAAATATTTTTTTATTGTTTATGTATACAAAATATTATGTAACGTTCCCATTTTTGAAATTATTGTCGACCATATTGTTGACTGAAGCTGTGTGAGTGAAATTGGGTAGGCAGAACCCTTGATTATGCTAGATCACATGCTTTTTCCCAGAAATTGTAACTAAGATCTGCTCAGTATAGTTGCAGTATAAACCACAGCTGTGCTCTGTGGGTGTTGAATAAACACAATTGTGCCTGAGCAAGCGTCTGCAACAGGGATTGGCTAGCCGCCCTAGTTGACGAGTATCCTCGAATACGAGTACCCAGCACCTATATTCGAAGATACTCGTATATATATATATATATATATATATATATATATATATATATATATATATAATATAGAATTTTTTTGAATATTAAATATTAAATGTTAAATCTGACTCACAAATAGCGCTCAATATTTATTTCCATTAAATAGAGCAAAATATTTCATACAATTGGAATTAAGATTCCATTGATGACTGATCATTTTCATCCGCGAATTTTAAATTTAAAATTCACATGATTTTTCAAACTGTTTATGATGTCAGTTTGTTGAAGAGGATTGTCTGGTTGGGGAAAGAAAGAACAAAATCCGGAAAAAAACCGTGGAGGTATTAAGGAAGACATAAATGAATGTAAAATTAGTGATGGTCAGCGTGGACAGAGACAGAGAGAGAAGAAAAGGCATAGTTACAGGAGGTAATGTGGGGTATAATATCGTGGAGGTAGGAGTGGGCGGGGAGAGAGTAGGGGAATCCGATGACCTACATCTTAATGGTAAAACGACTGAAGTTTGATTCAACGGAGATCCACAGAAATTAATGAAAAAATGAAAAAACTAATTTATATAAAATATTAAGGGATAAGCTTAGCGAGATGAAAAAAGATTATTCAGAATTTAATAGCAAGAAAGACAGATTCAATTTGATTGTTTTGTGAGCAAATATGCAAACATAGAAATACTAATAAAATTAACTGATACTTTCGATCGTTAAGCAGATATTTGTCATATGATTCATTATTTTTCGAGTTTCTTATTGTCATTATATCCACCTATACATAGACATATACGCACGTCAGGGTCAGCTGGCCAGTTGACCCTGACGATCTGTATAGATGAAACCTAGGTAGGTTTACCTGGATCTTTAGGTTCATATTTAGATTTGTTCTACTTAGTGTATTGAGCACTTTACGTAGTTACTTTTGCTTTTTTTCTTTGGACTCTGAGCTTGAATTCTGGACGATTGTTTTCGCCTCAATTTCATGGTCTTAGTTCTTTCTTTTTTTATCCCTTATTTTTCCTTGAGCATTAGTTTGTTCATTTACAAGCCAAAATACCTAAGGTTTTTTCGAAACGAGTATAACTATATATATATATATATATATATATATATATATATATATATATATATATATATATATATATATACCTTTTGCTATTTTCAAAATGCCCGTTTAATAACTTTGGACAAAGCCGAGCTGTAAAGATCTTATGAAACAAAAAACGGTTAAAAGAACTGAGGCGCTCAAAGGCTCCAAGGATATTAACCACCCATTTTAAAGCTCACCTTGAAATCATGTAACAATTGGTAAATCATTAACAATTTTATTTTGATGTGATTTAAAAAGCCATTTTCAAAGTATTTAAAATAGCACATTATATATACATAAGAAAAGCAATGACACAAATTAATATGAATAGAAAAACGGCATACCACCAACGAAGCTCTCAACTGATAATGCCATAAGTTTTCATGGTTTAAGCATTGGAAAAATTAGTGTAATCCTCCAGGTGTTTTGTCGATTTTACGTTACAATATTAGAATGCCAGATCTGTACAGTTTGAATATCTCCATTTCTTGGAATGGCTTCTGTTGGCAATAAATTTTGACTGAAATATATATATGATATATATTAACAGACTCAGATAGATAGATAGATAGATAGATAGATAGATAGATAGATAGATAGATAGATAGATAGATATAAACAGACTCAGATAGATAGAAGATAGATAGATAGATAGATAGATAGAACAGATAGAAGATAGATAGATAGATAGATAGATAGATAGACTAGATAAGAACAGATAGATAGATAGATAGGTAGATAGATAGATATGAACAGACTCAGATAGATAGATAGATAGATAGATAGATAGATAGATATGAACAGACTCAGAAGATAGATAGATAGATAGATAGATAGATAGATAGATAGATAGATATGAACAGACCCAGATAGATAGATAGATAGATAGATAGATAGATAGATAGATAGATAGATATGAACAGACTCAGATAGATAGATAGATAGATAGATAGATAGATAGATATAAACAGTAGAGCAACTCGCCGTAGAGGATTTGTTTGGGCGTTTTTCTGTCAAGATGAATGATATGGCCTACCCAGCAAATCCTCTGCAGACGAATATGTAGTTCGATGCTGTTTGTATCGGCCTTCTAAAACTATCGTCTGACATGTGAGATATCCAGTGGATATCAAGAATCGATTTTAATCATTGTTGATGGAATCTCTCCAAGGCGTTTGTCTGTGGTATACAACCTAAGTCTCATATGTGCACAGCAGGTACGTCGGCACACAGGCATTGTAGACTACCATCTTTCCGCCTTTCTGTGCGAGACTCGATCTCTTAGAGCTGTAAAATCATCAGCTGCTTTCTTCCCACGAACAGATATTTCACCGTCAAGAGTGCTGTATCTATTTCTAGTGTTCCCAAGGTATGAGTGTTTGGTTACCATCCCCCAAATATTGATGGTGAACCCAGAGCAGGTTAAAACATGACCACTGTTCGGTCTATGAGTGTTAGTTTTCTATGAACGAGAAAGATTATCCATCGAAGACTTGCATTTCGTGTTTTGTTTGGTTGACCAAGTCACAGTCATCAGCATGCAGAAGATCTCGGACAAGTGTTTAGAATGTCTTAGATTTAGAAAGTAAACCTCTGATGTCCAACAGTTTACCAATTATACGATATAGAATACCAGTGTATATATCCTGGTCACAGAACTTAAAGGCATGCAGAAGGACAACACAAAGAATATAGCGAACAATGTAAGTGCTACAAAGTCAACCATTTCGTACTATGATGGGTTCTGAAAGTAAATCATCAACATTAAAATACATACATACATATGAAGATGGTTGTTTTTGTTTACTGGCATATCAACACCTCTATGGGTTATTTAATGCCGAAATCTAAATATTTTGTTCGCCATTTAATTTTATTTTTGTAGATGATAATTGTTTAGTGATACAAATCTTACTAATTAACCCATAGCTGGGGGAGAAGAGATGGATTCATACCTTTCCCAGGGGTATTTGAGCGTAAGTAAATATAATGTACATCCAAGCTTACAGCACATGGTATTCCCAAACGGTCAACCATCTAGGTATTAAGCAGGATCCACGTTGCTTAACTTTGGTGACCGTAAGGGAACTGGGGTTTCAACGTGATGCGACCATAAGCCATACATATCAACAGACCGAGATAGATAGATAGATAGATAGATAGATAGATAGATAGATTATGAACAGACCGAGATAGATAGATAGATAGATAGATAGATAGATAGATAGATAGATAGATAGATAGATAGAAGTAATCATAAAAATTCATGGAGAGATTCTGTTGAATCAATTTCCTCCTAATTCAAAATTTCATGAATCTGATTTGAACATTGTTTTGTAAGCTAACATTTAGAAAAAAGTTCAATCATATTTAAGTAAATGGGTTTTCGAAAAGAAACTTATATTCTTAAAATAACAAAAAAATATCTTGCAATTTTTGAATACATAGAACCAAACTGTAATTGAATATCAGTTTTGAGTTTTACTGGCAAAGGATGGGTTTTAATCAAAATTCGTCGCGAAAGTTTACTGACTGTGATTAATTGCACAAGAGAAAAATTGGCTTATTCCAAGTTGACTTACTTGGCAAATATAACCTACTTTCAAATATCCTAACACTACTTCTACTGCTGCCCTAGATTCTTACTCGATCTGGTGGGAGGTGTAAGTTTACGGGCAACATTTAGAAGTTCCCTCAAATAAATCTAAAGACATAATCCTAACTATTTTCCGGTCAGTATCCATTTAAAAATGACGGTTTATGAATAATCAAGAAAACAACTTTTGTTTCTGCTTCTTTAAAATTAAAATAGAACTAAAACGATAAAAACGGAGATTTTAATTTAAGAAGAAAAATTTTTTGTTATATAAAGGCGGTGACAATAAAATAACATCACTGTAAATTAGTAAATCTAAACAGGATTAACAAAAAGGCAGCTAAATCGGTTTATCGTATCTATTTCATCAGAGCTCAATTGAGGAGGGATCTCTCTTCCTGGAGGGATTGACTGAGGAGGAGAATTGGGTTCCCCCCACCACCCTCGGGATGGATGATTTAGATATAATATCTGTTCCGGGCCAGATGCCTTCTCTCCTCCTTTCCCTCCCCCACACACACACGCACACCGTTGCGTGACATCTGTTACGTAGTGGTGGTATAACCGGCTATGACTATCTTAGACAAGCTGTAGAGGATTTTACGGAAAACAGGTCATACAGCTCTAACTCAACTCCTCTGGTTCTGTGTTTTTTCTTAAAGAGTGATAGCCTTCACAGCTAGAACCCACCAAGCCACGAAGATGTGGTCGATTCATCCTTATTCTATTGCATTCCATTAGTAAGGAGGAAGTTCCACTCAGACAGCTTCTTTCATAGAACTGTTACTTTGCTTAGACAAGCTTTGGCCAGCTGAGACAAGCTATGACCAGCTTAGACAAGCTATGACCAGCTTAGACAAGCTTTGGCCAGCTTAGACCAGCGGCCCGAATGAAAACACATACGTCCCTAAGTTAAAAACCGACCTTGTGTCACAACCTGGCTCAATGAGTGGGGGGGGGTCAAGTAAATCTCGTGATCAACCGAGGAGAAATATACAGAACGACTAAAATGAACGCCAAGGCTAAGTATTATGTAATAAATACATAACAATTACAGGCTAATTAACTTATGTCAATCGCGTTTCGATATTACAGTTTACGGTAATGTTTTTTGGGGTTTTTTTTTTTTTTGTTATTCCTTTTTTGGTTAATTTGTCTTTTTGTTTAAACATGTCCATTTTTATTGCATTAATTAAATTTTGTACCCTTGCAAAAAAATATTTCTATAAGCACTAGCGTATCTGTCTATATTTCTGAGATAAGGTATTATGTACACTATTTACATTATTCAGACTATTGTCCTCATCTTTGTTGTCATATTTATTACAACGTTTCGGCCTTTCAGTATCTGTCTATATTTCTGAGATGAGATATCATGTACATTATTTACATTATTCGGACTATTGTCCTCATCTTTGTCGCCATATTTATTACAACGTTTCGGCTTTTCAGTATCTGTCTATAATTCTGATATGAGGTATTATGTACACTATTTACATTATTCAGACTATTGTCCTCATCTTTGTCGTCATATTTATTACAACGTTTCGGCCTTTCAGTATCTGTCTATATTTCTGACATGAGTTATTATGTACACTATTTACATTATTCGGACTATTGTCCTCATCTTTGTCGCCACTAGAAGAGTCTATCCCAGTGAGCGAAATAAAGGGTTCGACATTCCAACCACCTGAAGAAGGCCGGAGCGTACAACAGCCGAAACGTTGTAATAAATATGGCGACAAAGATGAGGACAATAGTCCGAATAATGTAAATACTAGTGTGTTGCCCAGAGTAAAAGCGTAAAAAGGTGTACGAGGCTTTCTTAAAAACGACTTTTACTTCCTGTAACACCGACTAATACGAAGATACAACACCAACTGTTTATGGGAAAACAAGGCGCTTGACAGTCTTCCAGACTTTTTTATACTGTTGTTCATCCTACACAAGGCCCAAGGACTTGATGGGGTCAACATCATTTCGTGAAACTCTTCTACAAAGTAACAGTTCTGTGAAAGAAGCTGTCTGAATGGAACTTCCTCCTTACTAATGGAATACAATAGAATAAGGATGATTCGACCATGTCTACGTGTCATGGTGGGTCCTAGCTGTAAAGGCTATCACCCTTTTCAAAAACATAAAACCAATGTTGAGGTGTCACAGCTGGATGACCTGTTTCTACAAAATCTTCTACAGCTGTCATGACACGCCATGCCTGTCTCTTTCGTCATACATCAGCAGTCTTGCAACAGAATTGGATCTTCAATCGATCTTCAATCGAGTATATTTATGCTAGAGTGTTACTCGTCCTTAAAATGTTCAGAATTTAGTTTGTCATTGGGGGTAATATCAGGTTTTGTCATGTTTGGTAACTCACACCCCAACTGAGGCTCGTAAATTTAAGCCGGCTTTCATGTTTCAGCTAAAGAAAATTTGATTCAATATCCATTTCACCTTTGAACTTGGGTTACATCGCCCTGTATGCTTTATGAGGTCGAAACCAACACAGTGACTTTTTTATCCATATAGATTGAAACTTGCCAAGGGAGCATAATACAAAATCTCTTTTTTTAATTTAAAAAAGGTGATATTTACCGTTGTAATCGACGAAATGATTTAAAACACCAGCTTTGGTTTGTTTTGGTCTGTTTTGGTTTCGTTTCGTTTGGTTTACGGCATATCAACCTCAATGGGTTATTTAATGCCTACAAGATTTTTATTGCAGGTGATATTTTTTCCAAAAATATATTGTTGGTAATACTTTTTTCCTTCAAAAATGTATTGCTGCTAATATTTTTCTCAAAAATATATTGCTGGTAATATTTATTTTCTTCAAAAATGTATTGCTGTTAATAAATTTTCCTTCAAAAAATGTATTACTGGTATTAAAATCTATTTTTACACATTCATCGTGTTTTAACCCTAGTTTGAGAGTTAACTATTTGCTCATAGCTCGGACCCTAACAGGCGCAACCACCCCAGGTCAGGGTGAACCTGGGAACACCATCAATTAAGATGTGGTCTCATGTTCCTCAAAGCCTCCTGATCAGAGGCCTTGCTGTTGGACGTAGTTTATCGTCTTACCCAGGACGCTACCAGCTTTGATATTTTATGTAGTTGAAATGAAGGCAGGAGACGATGAAATTGAACATAGAATTGGTTTAAGGACATTTTTGTCTAACACCACAAGGCGCTATAAAATCAAAACATTAACCTGTGAATTGGAGTCATGTTCTTAAATTGTCAGGTCTGGATTTTTATATGGAAGCTATGCATGGCGCCCAAACCATTCAGGGATGTTTAAACTGTCAACTACAGACGAACGCTCTCTCAGATCAGTGTTTAAAATGGCTTCAATTGAATGGACGCTTTAGCAGACTGTCGCTACAGAATCATGAAGAACTCTACCAAATAGCAGAATATGAAGACTTTCAACAGTGGCAACAACAAAAACGGATAGCACATGTCACTCGAAGAGAGAAAATAATGTCATAAGATGTTGACATTCCACACTACTTCAAATAAAAGGTTAGGAAGGAAACCTCTATCAATGCGAGAAAGAGCGATAATTGCTACTGAAAATGAGAAACCTATTTTCATGAAAAATTGTTTTAAGAAAAAGATTTTGCCGATTTCAATCAACAACAGCAAAAATTATTTGAACCGAACATAGCCGTGGCTATTTGGTCAATGAATGCTAAACGTTTCCTTATAAGGAATCAACTAATATTGCTATTCGTTTCACAATAGATCTGCGAAAAAGAAACGACTTCTAAACTGTATAATAAGTGCTTTGCTGACGCTTGATTTCCTGCATACTGGAAATCCTCATCTGTTGTTCCATTTTTTAAGAACTCCGGTGAACCGTTCGACCTTTCCAAATATCGGCCTATTAGCCTCCTGCCTGTTTTGGCTCTCATGATTACTGGAGGCTCTGTAATAGTGTATTAAATAAAAGTAAATTTCTATTCCTCCCCTTTTCAATCAATTTGAGGTGTTAACATGTTCTGATAAAGTAAACTGTTTTGTCCGTAAATCCTCCTCGAAATCTACTCTTGACTCATTTGGATTATCCTTGCCTGATTTAGACGTGAGTCTCTATTGAGTGATATAAGTCATTCCATAGTTTCTTCTATCATCTCTAATCTGGATCCTCACAAAGCATGTGGACCTGATGGTATCCTTGTAATAGTCCTTAAGAAATGTTCTCCTGAACTGGCTCCTGTTCTTTCTAAAATGTACAATAAATGTCTGTATGCCTCTTGTTTTTTCTGCTTGTTGGAAATCCTCTTTTGTTGTTTCAGTCTTTAAGAACTCAAATGAACCGTCTGGTCCTTCTTACTATTGGCCTAGTAGCCTTCCTACCTCTTTTTAGTAAACTACTAGAGGCCCTAATCAATACTGAATTAATTAAGAATCTCACACTGCTGAGCCTTCTTTCAAACAAGCAATATGGTTTTTGTTTCTCTAGATCAACTGCTAATGTATTAACAATCATTGTAGAAAGAGACTATC